GGAGAAGAGCTGGCCGAGCACGGTGAAGAAGATCTCCATCGCGATGAGCGTGCCGCGCGTCTCCGGCGGCGCGACCTCGGCGATGTAGACGGGCACGGTCACCGTCGCGAGGCCGCAGCCGAGGCCGATGCCGACGCGCCCGAGGCACAGCAGGTAGAAGCCGCCGGCGTCGTTGTCGGGCACGGAGCCCACGACGAGGGCGCCGAGGAAGAAGCACGCGGACGCCAGGAGCACCGTGCCCCGGCGGCCGACGTAGGCGTTGGACGTCCGCGCGCCGAGGGCCGCGAAGCCCGCGACGCAGGTCGTCACGCCGATGGCGACCTCGTACTGCACGTTGTTCAGGCCCAGGGAGTGCTTCGTCCAGGTCATGGCCGTCGACACGACGCCCGTGTCGTAGCCGAAGAGGAAGAAGCTCCAGGCCGCCGCGGCGCTGATGGCGTTGACGGACCCGTGGCCGTCGAGGTCGGCGCCGCCGCCCATGGCTCGCGCCCGCCGCGGCGCGGGCTGCGATCAAGGCTGCCCCACACCCTCTCCGGACGCGTCACCGCGATGAACATGCGGCATCTTGAACCGGGTTGCACACGCGAGTATGGCGCCATCCTAGGCGGGGCGAGCATTCCCGTACGCACGCCACCATGACCATGTCCCTCATGCGCGTCAAATACACGCAAGTCGCCACGAGCCCGGCGCAGGCGGCTGCCCCGTCCGAGGGCGCGCCGCTGCTCGTCCGCGACGACGCGTCCTGGGGGCTGCGCGCCCTGCGGTGCTGGCACCCGCTGGTCCACGTCCGGGAGATGTTCCTGCGCCGGGGCCAGGGCCGCCACGTGAGCTTCGACGCCCTCGACGGCCTCCGCGCGCTGGCGATGATGTGGGTGCTCAGCGGCCACGCGCTCGAGAAGGGCTTCGCGCTCGGCTCTTTAAGCCCGTGGCTCTTCGCCCTCGCGCCAGAGCTGGCTCGGCGTCACGGTGTTCCTCGTGCTCTCGGGGTTCCTCGTGGCCCACGTCTTCGCGGGCCTCCTGGAGAAGCGCACGTTCTGGCCCGCGCTCGGCGTCTTCCTCTGGCGCCGCTTCGCCCGCATCTGGCCCGCGCTCGCGCTCGGCGGCCTCGCGCTCCAGATAACCCAGTCCCTGCTCACGGGGCACGCGGCCCTGAGCGGCTGCGGCAGCGGCGCGCTCGGCGCCTGGCTCTACACGAACGCGCTGTTCCTGGGCAACGACCTCGACACGTCTTCCGTCGGCGGGGACTCCCCGATCCCGCGGCTCTGGCTCTTCGAGCGCATGGGCGTCGTGCAGCAGAACGCGGCCTGCTCGTCCATCGCCTGGACCGTGTCCCTCGAGGTCCAGGGCTACGCGATCGCGCCCTTCTTCGTCGCGGCGATCGTCGCCGACCGGCGCGCGGGGCTCGCGGCCGCGGGCCTGGCCTTCGCGGGCTGCGTCGCGCTCCGCGGCGTCGCGTTCTGGAACCGCGTCGTCGAGTCCGACGCGACGCTCACGGACAAGTGGGTCGTCTACCACGACGCGGACCTCTACGAGTGGCTGCCCTACCGCTTCGAGGAGACGCTCGCCGGCGTGCTGGCCTACCACTACGCGTTCCCGCGGCGGAGCAAGAAGGCCGGGGAGGACGCGGCCAAGGGCGGCGCGGCGACCGACGGGCGGGCGGGCGCCTCCGCGGAGGCGGCCTTCGTCGTCTTCCTCGCCGGGTTCCTCGCGCTGACCTACGGCTGCTTCTTCGAGCACGACCCGGCGAACTTCGGCTTCGGCGTCCCTACGACGGCCCCTGGCGCGCCTTCTTCTTCGGCTGGCTCTGCTTCCCCGTCGCCGCCGCCGCGACCGCGAGCTTCATCGCCGCGGCGTACCCGCCTGTGTGGAACTCAAATCTTCGACCCGACTTCAATGTGCGCATAATTGAACGGATTGCGCCGGACTCGTCGGTTGCGCTTCGAGAACTCGATGAGAGCAATCGATTCGTCCAAAAATCAGCCAAATCGACTTCGATTTGATCGAGATAGAGAATTTCGAAGTTTGGTCGGGACGTCCCAAACCAGTGGGTGATTTCCACACAGGTACCCGCCGGACGGCGCCGCGCCGTCGGCGCCGGTCCGCGCCGCGTCCCGCGTCCTCGCGCTGCCCGTCTTCTTCCCGCTGGCGTCGCTGTCCTACACGGCCTACCTCAGCCAGGTCGTCTGGCTCGACGCCGTCTTCGCGGGCGCCGGCAAGGGCCGCGGCAACGACGACGGCTTCGCCACGGGCGGCTTCGGCTACAAGGGTTTTCGCCGCCTCGCGACGGCCGTCCCGGACGACGGCGACACGTACCTTTTCTACGTCTGCCTCCTCGCCCTGAGCCTGGCGTCGGGCCTCGTCCTGAGCCTCGCGATCGAGCGGCCCTTCATGAAGCTCGGGCCCCTGCTGGAAGAGGCCGCCGCCGACGCCGCCGCGACGTTCCGCCGCCCGCCGCCGGGGGGCGGGGACGGCGGGCTCTAGCCCCGGGGGGCTTATTTTTGTTTGCTTCTCGAGAGGCGCTCCGCTCCGGCCGGTCGTAGACCTTCGTAGCCTCCCGAAAGTTTGCATGCATGCGGCGATTGAAGCCTCAATGAAGGGGGGCAAGGTTGCACAGCGAGCGTCCCGTCTCGCGTGCGTCGTGGCCTCGTGGCCGCCGATGGCAAGCATTTCCTCATCAATAGGCCGGGCCCTGCGACCCGGCCGGCGGTGTTTCCACGTCGCGAGCCGCGCCAATGGCGGCCGGCAGCCGTCCTGGGCGCCGCTCGTGCGATGTCAGCGGCCGCCGGCGCCGCCCGGCGCCGGGAGCCGACGAGGCCTGGGCGCCGGCGTCGAGGTCGGGTCCGCGGGCCTGGACTGGGCGCGCATCGGCTTCCACTTCCAGCCGACGAACGGCTTCGTCAAGTTCGACTGGAAGGACGGCCGCTGGGACGCGGGCACGTTCGAGCCGGAGCCGTACCTGAAGATGCACGTCATGTCGTCCGCGATCCACTACGGCCAGGGCGTCTACGAGGGCGCCAAGGCGCACCACTGCGCCGACGGCGAGGTGCGGCTCTGGAACATCGACGCCAACGCGAAGCGCATGACCGAGGGCTGCGCGCGGATGATGATGCCCGAGGTGCCCGAGGCGCTCTTCGTGAAGGCCTGCGAGTGGGCCGTCGCGGCGAACCTGGCCTACGTGCCGCCCTACGGCAGCGGGGGCGCCATGTACATCCGCCCCTACATCTTCGGCCACGGGCCCCAGCTCGGCCTGTCGCCCGCGCCGACGTTCTCGTTCTGCGTGCTCGCGATCCCGGTGTCGTCGTACTACGCGGGCGGCCTCAAGCCCATCGACGTGCTCGTCGCCGACGGCTACGACCGCGCGGCGCCCCAGGGCGTGGGCAACGTCAAGGCGAGCGGCAACTACGGCTCCGACATCCTCGTGACCCTCAACGCGCGCGCGGAGGGCTACCCGACGGTGCTCTATTTGGACGCCAAGGAGAAGAAGTACGTCGAGGAGTTCTCCGTGTCCAACTTCGTCGGGCTCAAGGCGGGCGCGGGCGGGCAGCTGACCTACGTGACGCCGGACACGGACAGCGTGCTGCGGTCGACGACGAACGACCTCCTCATGGAGCTCGCGGCGTCCGACGACTTTGGCATGGCCGTCGAGCGCCGGCCCGTGCCCGTCGAGGAGCTCGACGACTTCGACGAGGTCGCGGGCTGCGGCACGGCCGTCGTCATGATGGGCGTCAAGTCCATCACGCTCAAGGACAAGGTCTACGAGTACGGCTCCATCGACAACGTCGAGCGGCTCTACGACCGCTACCGCGCGATCCAATTCGGCGAGGCGCCGGACGCCTTCGGCTGGGGCTCCGTCGTCCCGCCGCTCCCGGACGCCGCGGCCTGAGCGGGCCGCCCCCCAAGGTTCGGCGCGGCGCGCCGCCGCCGCGCCGCCGTCCCCCCCCGGGCTCCGCCCCGGCGGGGGGCGAGAACATCGCCCGGCCCGGCGCGTCGTCTCGCGCCGGCCCGCCTCCGTTTCCGGCCCGCGCACCCACACGCGCGGCCCGGCACCACCACACGCACACCCCATGGTCACTGAAAGCGCTTCGACATCCCATGGTCACTGTGTCTCGCACCCGCGGCCCCTTCTACTCATAACGGGCCTCTGCCGAAGTGACGCCGAACACGCGAGCGATCGCGGTTTTAAGTCGGGCTGTGCCGGGGCTTCGCGCGCTCGTCCCTGGGCTTGTCGCCGACGACGGTTTGCAGGCGCATGGCCCGAAGCTCTCTCGAGGGCGGTCCCAAGTGCTCCTCATCCAACTCGGCCCAATCGCCGCGGGCGCCCCGACGCCCCCCCCTCCGACACCGGCGGGGAACAGGCGCCGTTACCACTAGACGTCGCCGGAGCTGAGGGCCTCCTGGGACTCCCAGTCGGAGTTGAGGAAGCCGACGACGAGCGCGTCGACGCTGCCCTCCTTGAACTCCTCCTCGGGCCGCGGGCGGCGCCGGGGCTCGTCGACGACGACGGGCGCGGGCATGTGCTCGGCCTTCTCCTTCTCCTCCTTCTCGGCCCGGCGGAAGAGGACGACGAGCAAGATGCAGCAGAGCAGCACGAGCAGCGCGATGAGGCCGATGATGACGTACATGAAGTCGAAGCCCGCGTTGTCCGCGCCGTCGTCGTCCTTCGATCCGCCGCCGCCGCCGCCGCCGTCGTCGGCGAGCGCCGCCGCGAGGTCGCTCGGGTCGCCGTCCCAGGAGAAGATCACGCTCGTGTCCTCGGCGATGGCGACCTTGGTCTCGTTGACGGCCAGCACGGTCGTGCCGAGGACGCTCAGGTTGCCCGCGGAGATCAGCGCGGCCTGGAACGTGCCGTCGTCCACGGACGCCGTCAGCTGGTCGACGAAGGTGAGGTGGAGCTCGAGGCCGTACTCCGCCGTCATCGAGGAGCCGGCGCCGAGCTCGGCCCAGAACGCGACGGTCGTCGCGTTCGCGGCGTCCGCGGCCTCGAGCGCGGCCTCCTCGAGCTTCCGCACGCGCAGGTGCCGCCGGAGGTCGCCCGCGACCCAGGCGCCGCCCGTGACGTCCTCGACGTCGTCGGGCGACGCGACGACGTCGAGCGCGAGGGCGACGACGCTCGCGAACTCGAGCTCCTCGACGTCGCCGAACTCGTCCGGCGACATGCCGTACAGGACGACGGCCGACGAGCTGTAGACCGTCGCGTCGTCGTGCACGAGCTCGCTCGGCGCGGCCGTCGGGTTTGTCGCCGACGGCGCCTTCGAGAGGCTCGGCGCGGGCGAGATCGTCGGCGCGGCGGTGGCGACGGCCGCGCCGTCGTCCCCGGCGGCGCCGTCGTCCCCGGCGCCGTCGTCGCCCGCGCCGCCGTCGTCGCCCGCGCCGCCGTCGTCGCCCGCGACCGTCGGCGCGGCGGTCGCGCCGTCGTCGCCGGCGCCGCCGTCGTCGCCGGCGCCGCCGTCGTCGCCGGCGCCGCCGTCGTCGGCCGCGTCGTCGGACGCGACGGGCGCTGGCGAGACCGTCGGGAACTCCGTGCAGCCGCAGGACAGGCCGCAGGACTCGAGTGCCTTGCGCTCGTTGCCCTCGCCGTCGAAGCCCTGCGTGTGGCAGCGGTCGTAGTCCTCGGCGACCCAGTCGCAGTCCTTGCTCGGCTCGAGCAGCTTGTACCAGGACGCGTCGTCCTGGCAGCCCGTCGGCGCGGGCGACGCCGTCGGGCCCGGCCCTCCGCTCGGCGCCGTCGTCGGGTAGCTCGTGCAGCCGCAGGCGGCGCCGCAGGCGTCGACGGCCTCGCGGAGGTCGCCGTTCGCGTCGTACCCCTTGACGTGGCAGCGGCCGTACTGGTAGGCCGCGACCCAGTCGCAGGTCTTCGACGGCACGTCCGTCTTGTGCCAGGACGCGTCGTCGGCGCAGGCGCTCGGCGGCGCCGTCGTCGCGACGACGCTCGGCGCGCCCGTCGAGCCGTCGGTGACGACGTAGATGTCCGCGTTCTGCTCGCCGCCGTACTCGCAGTTGTCGAGGTCGTGGTCCAGGCCGCACTCGCCGTCGGACTCGCAGAGGTCGCCGACCTCGAGGCCCGGCGTGCCGCAGTTCTGGATGTCCGCGTCCTCGGGGCACTCGTCGGACGACGCCTCGCGGTACGACGTGCAGACCTGGAGCGTCGGCGGTAAGGACGCGGTCGGCGCGGCCGTCGGGTCCGGCGCGGCCACGACGACGTAGATGTCGGCCTGCTGGACCCCGCCGTAGAAGCAGTTGTCGAGGTCGTGGCTCAGGCCGCACTCGCCGTCGGACTCGCAGTAGTCGCCCTCCTCGAGGCCCGGCGTGCTGCACGGCTCGAGGTCCGCGTCGTCGGGGCAGTCCCAGAGCTCGACGGCCTCGTAGGTGAGGCAGATCGCGGGCGTCGGCGCGCCCGTGCTCGGCGCCGCCGTCGGGTCGCCGTTGACGACGCGGTAGACGTCGGCCTCGTAGCGGCCCTCCGCGTCGAGGCAGTTGTCCTCGTTGTTCGACGTGCCGCACTCGCCGTCGGCCTCGCAGAGGTCCCCCGTCGCCAGGGACGCGTGGTTGCAGGCCGGGTAGGACGCCGTCATGAGCGCGTGCTCCGGGCAGTCGTCGCTCGCCAGGTCCAGGGCGACGAGGAACTCCGGGCAGGTCTTGGGCGTCGGGGACCGCGTCGGCGCCGCGCCGGCGACGAAGTAGATGTCCGCCTCGTAGCGGCCCTCGGCGTCCTCGCAGTTGTCCAGGTTGTTCGACGTCGCGCACTCGCCGTCGCCCTCGCAGAGGTCGCCCACGGCGAGGTGGGCGGACCCGCAGTGCGGGTAGGACGCCGTCAGGACCACGGGATCCGGGCAGTCGTCCGAGCCCTCGTCGAGCGCGACGAGGTAGTCGGGGCAGTTCGTCGCCGTCGGCGCGAGCGACGGCGCGTAGGACGGGGCGTAGGTCGGCGCGTAGGTCGGCTCGGCGATGACCACGTAGATGTCGCCGCTCATCTCGCCGTAGTGCTCGCAGTTGTTCAGGTCCGTGTCCGTGCCGCACTCGCCGTCGCCCTCGCAGACGTCGCCGACGACGAGGAGGCTCGCCGTGCAGGCCACGTTGACGTTGGAATCGTCCGGACACTCGTCGGACGTCGCCGCGCGGAGCCGCGGGCAGGACGTCGGCTGGACCGTCGGCGCCGCCGAGGGCGCGTAGGCGTCCTCGGCGGCCGCCCAGGCCGCGAGGAGCGCGAGGCGGCGCATGGTCCTCGTCGTCCCGAGGCGCGCGGCGGCGACGGCGGCGCGGCCGGCGCCCGCGCGGCGCGTCGGTGCGGCGCCGCCCTTCTGCGCGAGGAACTGGGGGCAGCCCCTCGTTGGGAGGCCGAAGAGGGGTGGCCCGAAACGAAATTTCGTCGTGCATATCTACAACTTGCCGGCACCGTCTTAGCCTAGCGCTTCGAGGGGGCAGCATGGCCGACGCCGCCGACGGCGGCGACGCCGAGCCCAGGGTCGACGGCGACCCGGAGGAGGAGGAGGAGGAGGAGGAGGAGGTGCAGGGCGAGTCGCCCTGGGAGGTGCAGGACATCCTGGAGAAGCACCAGATCGCGGCCATGGGCCGCGCCCAGGACGAGGCCCTGCTCCAGGTGCTGGGCGTCACGGGCCACTTCGACGACCTCGAGGCGCCGGACAAGGTCGTCGAGCTCGGCGCCGACGGCACCGTGAGCCGGCCCTTCGCCGTCGACGAGGACGACGACGACGACGACGGCGACGCGTTCGACGCGTCGGCCGTCGAGCCCATGTCCGCGTTCAGCCTCACGTCCGCCGAGGTCATGGCGGAGCTGCAGAAGCGGGGCATGGCGGCCAAGGGCTTCTTCAACGACGACGCCAAGACCCTCCAGAAGCTCTTCGACGACGAGCACGAGGCGCGCGTCGAGAGCCTGCGGGAGACGCACCTGGCGCGGATCCGCGAGTCCAAGCTCCAGAAGGCGCGCCACCGGCACCGCATCGTCATCCACCGCAAGCTGCGCGAGGAGGCGGAGACCATCGTCGCCGACGCCGACGAGCAGCTCTGCGCGTGGCTCAAGCTCGTCGCGCGGGACGGCACGCCGCGCGACGTGTGCCTCGGCGCGATCTTGAAGGGCGCGCTGCGCTGCGCGGCGGCGGGCCGCGCCCTCGCCAAGGCCCTGTGGGCCAACGCCAGCGTCACGTCCCTGGACCTCTGCCGCGCGGACCTCGACGACGCGACGGCCGCGTACGTCGCGCGCGCGACGCGCGCGCCGGGCTCGCGAATCGTGAAGCTCGAGCTCGACGGCAACGACGTCGGGCCCCGGGCCTGCGCGGAGCTCGCCGAGGTGTTGGTGTCCAACGGCACGCTGACGTCCCTGAGCCTCGAGGGCAACGACCTCACGCGGGGGGGGAAATTGGAGAAGCCCTTCGACGGCCTCTGCGCCGCGCTCGGAAAAGCCAGGGCGCTCACGCAGCTCAATTTGTGGCGCTGCGGCCTCAGCGAGGCCGCGGGCCGGACGCTGGCCGAGGGCCTCCGGAGCAACGAGTTGCTCATCCTCGTGGAGACGGGCGGCAACGACGTGCTCGCCGAGGACCAGCGCGACGTCGACGACACGCTCCGGCGGAACCGCGACGCGCTCGACGACCGGTCCACGACGGCCAAGGCCGAGGCGAGGCGCCGGCGGACGGAGGCCAAGGAGCGCGCCGTCGAGGAGGCGCGGCGCGAGAAGGCCGCGGAGGTCGACGCGTGGATCGAGCAGCGCCGCGGCGAGCGCACGGCCGCGCGCGAGAAGGCGGCGCTCGAGGCCAAGAAGGACGAGGAGGAGGCGGCCCAGCGGCGCGAGGCCAAGGAGCGCACGCGGCGCGAGATGCTCGAGAAGCAGAAGTCCGAGGGCAAGAAGGGGGGCGGCAAGAAGAAGAAGAAGTGACGAAGACGACTAACGGGCGCCTCTTAGCGGGTCGGGGGCGCCGCGGCGGTCGGGGGCGCGCGCGAGGCGGGCCCTAGGACGCCATCTCGTCGTCGTCGTCGTCGTCGTCGTCCTCTTCGAGCTCCTTCTTCGCCCACGTCTCCGCGGCGTCGATGAGGTCCTGGGGCACGAGCTGGTACTCGAACTTGGTCTCCTCGCAGAGCCAGGCCATCTCGAGGATGAAGGGCTTGTCCTTGGACTCGTCGTAGCACGTGTAGATCATCTTCGCGATCTCCTTGAGCGCGTCGCGGCACGTGAGCGTCGTCAGGTCGAGCTTCTCGATCTCGCTCTTGGCGCTCTGGCGGCCCTTGCCCAGCGCCGCGCCGAAGTAGCGCAGGCACACGCCCGTGGGCTCGAGGACGTAGAGCTGGTGCGCCTTCTCGCGCTCGTCGTACGCGGCGATCATCGTCGACGTGCCGAAGGGGCGGAGCGCGCCGTGGATCGTGAAGTAGTGGACGTACTCGCTGAGGCGCTGCGCGAGCACCGTCGGCGGGATGGGGATGCCGTAGACCTCCTCGTAGTTGTCGCACTCCTCGCGCGCGCGCGCGACGACCTGGCGGCCGTCCGCGGCGAGGCCCGCCTGCGCGACGCCCGCGTGCGCGGACACGGTCGCCACGCGCCGGTTGCTCGACGGCAGGAGCATCTTCGACAGCATGACCTTCTCCACGCCGAGGACGACGCCGTCCTTGCACTTCATGCCCACGACCGTGCCCGCGTTCTCCACGGCCTTGGTCGCGTACTCGACCTGGAAGATGCGCCCATCGGGGCTGAACGTCGTCGGCGAGAGGTCGTAGCCCGCGCCCGTCGAAGCCATCCGAGGTGCCGCGCGCGGTCTACAGCCCGTCCGCGAGTGTCCTGCGGCTCAAGGGCAGGCCAAGACCGCAGCCAGCCGCCCGGGGCCGACCCAGCCAGCCAGCCAGGGACGTCCAGTCCACGAAACGACCCCTCGCTACAACCTCTACAACGCGCGCCTACGGCGCGCCGCGCCGTCGTGGGGCGGCTGCGGCGACCGGCTGGCCGCCGGCCACGCGCGTCGGCGCTCGCGCTTCCGTCACCCCCGGCGGCCACTCCGGGCGCCTAATTAGATTTTGACATGATTCCCGCGCGAAAATCGCAAGATTTGCACATGCAACGTCTACATTGAAGAAATGGGTGGCTGCCAGCGACCGAGCCAGCCAGCCAGCCAACATTTACCTTGCGGTCTGCCAAACCGGCCCCGGGCGGAGTATTGTTATCTTGGACTGCCCTAGTGCGGCTAGCCTAGGTCGTACCCTGTGATCCCTAGTTTGGGTCATGTCTATGTTTGCACGATGTTCAAAGCAGCCCTTATGAGGATGCCCTGAGCTCGTGAGCATGTTCGCCAGCCTGCTCGCGTGGCCCTACATCGATCCGCACACCATCGTCGCCGACGACGAGACGCGCGGCGCCTTCCAGGTGGCCACGCTCGTGCTCCTCTACGGCGGCGTGCTGTCGCGGGGCTGCGCCTGCGTCAACGAGGGCGCGGAGCTGCTGCTGCTCACGCGCTACGAGGACGCCGTCGGCGCCGTGCTCCTGCCGCTCCTCATCGCCTTCCCCGAGGCCGTGCTGCTCTGCTGCTCGGGCGCGAGGACGCGCGGCGGGTTGGACGTCGGCGCGGGCAGCCTCTTCGGCAACACCGTGTTCATGCTCACGGTGCCCTGGGCCATCGCCGTCTCCTCCGGCGCCGTGGGCCTCGCCGACGGCCGCGCGGACTACGACGACCGGCGGTCGCGGCGCGCCGCGGACTGCGGCGCCTATCTCGGCGCGGCGCGGCGCGCCGCGCGCTGGCTCGCGGCCGCGGCCGTGCCCTACGTCGTGCTGGAGGTCTGCGGGGCGCTCGCGGCGGCCTCGGCCTGCTGCGGCGTCGCGCTCCTGGGCGCGCTCCTGCGCGCGCGGTCGCGGACCGCGGGCGACGAACGGTGGCTCGTCCACGAGCGGCGCCGGAGGTCCGCCGTGGACCGGTTCCGGAACCGGAGCGGCTTCATGGCCGCCATCGCCGACGTCGTCGACGCGTCGACGGCCGAGGAGCTCGAGCGCGCGGCCGCGGAGCTCCGCGCGGACGCGCGCGCGGCCGCGGGCGTCGACCGGCCGCCGCCGCGCAAGAGGACCTTCGGCGGCGACGCGGCGCTCCGCGCGATCCTCCGGCCGCTCTTCGCGCGGCGCGCCGACGCGCTCGGCAAGCTCGCCGTCGGCCGCGTGGGCCGCGTCTTTGACGACGCGGGCGAGCCCGCGAGCGAGGCGGACGTCCAGCGGTCCTTCGGCCCGACGCCGACGGACGTCCTCGACTTCGACGGCTTCGTCGCCGGCGTGCGCGCCTACGCGGGGCGGCTCCAGGCCCGCGGGCGCCGCCGCGCGCGCCGGGACGCGCGGCGGCGGGCCGCGCGGCTCCGGGCCAGCGACACGTCGTCCGCGTCGTCGCTGTCGACGGCCTGGGACTGCTCCGACGACGAGGAGGCCGCGGCGGCGCCCGACGCGGGCGACGACGGCGACGACGACGACGCCCTGTCGGTCTGCCCCGACGAGTTCGCGGAGGCGAGGTTCGAGTCGCTCGGCGCGCAGCGCGCGGCCATCGCCGCGCGGGCCTGGGCGAAGCTCGGCCTCGGCGTCGTGCTCGTCGTGCTGGCGTCGGCGCCCCTGCCGGACTGCCTCGAGGTCCTCGCGGACCGCTTCGGCGTGTCCAACTTCATCGCGGCGTTCGTCTTCGTGCCTGTGTGCACGCAGCTCTCGGAGGTCGCGGCGATCCGGGGCTTCGCGGCGAAGCGGACGCCGCGGTCGCTGGCCTACATCTTCGAGCAGCTCCTGGGCGCCGCGGCGATGCGCAACGCGCTGGCGTTGGGCGTGCTGCTCGCGTGGCTCCTCGCGCGCGCCGAGGCCTGGGACTACGTCGCCGAGGGGCTCGTGCTCCTCGTCGTCCAGGCCGCCGTCGCCGCGCTGTCGAGCCGGCGCGGCGCCACGACGCTGTGGCACGCGGCGCTCGTCTTCGGCCTCTACCCGGCCGCCGTCGCCGCGGTGCTCGGCCTCCGGCCGCGCCTCGAGGAGCCCGTCGCCGCGGCGCTCGCGTAACGCGCTACCAGGGGTCGCGACTGCTCTGCCTGTCCTATCACAGGCATCGAGCAGGTGCCGCGCTCCTGGAGCCGCCAGCCCCGCCGAAGCGGCCGGCGGCGCGCCGTTCGCCCCGCGACGCGCGGATGCGCGGGCTCCTTAACCTCCGCGCCTTCGTCGCGCGAGCGACCTACGCCTCGTCGTCGTCGTCGACCTCGAGGACGTCGGAGTCGACGTCGAACTCGACCATCTCGTCGAGCAGGTCCTCCTCGTCGTCGTCGAGGTACCCGATCTGGTAGCCCATGAGCATGGCCTTGCGCCGCGCCTTGAGCACGAGGTGTTTCATCATGCGCCGCGACGACGCCGCGAGGAAGGGGTGCTGGAGCACGGCCGCGACGTCCTCGATGGTGTTGGCGTCGAGGATCATGCGGTTGATCTTCTGCCGGATCTTCACCTGCTTCTTGCCGTAGCGCATGGACAGCGCCGGCGCCGCGGCGCGGCACGCGCGCGCGGGCAGCGCCGACCGGCTCGCCGTGAAGGCGTTGGCCGCGGCGACGAGCGCGAGGAGGTAGCACAAACAAGACTTCATCGCGGAGCACCAACTCGCTGGCAGGGCGTCGCGTTTGTTTGACTTGCCGCCTTGCGTGCAGCCCAAGGTGCTGCCCAGACTCATCCCCATCGCGGAATACAATACGATGATGCGCGCCCTCTCCGCCCTGACCTTGACGTCCCGCGCCATGTCGGCCCGCGCGCTGGCGCCGGAGCTGACGCGCACGGCCCTCGCGCCGACGGTGACGCTGGCCAGCGGCTACGAGATGCCCGTGGTCGCCCTGGGCACCTGGAAGGCGCCGGCGGGCCAGACGGGCGCCGCCGTCGAGGTATGTTCTCTAAAAATCGCGAGCACAAATCAAACACGACGCTTCATTTAGGCCGCCATCAAGGCCGGCTACCGCAACATCGACGCGGCGAACGACTACAACAACGAGCCCGAGGTCGGCGCGGCGATCAAGAAGTGCATCGCCGAGGGCGTCGTCACGCGCGACGAGCTCTTCGTCCAGTGCAAGCTCTGGAACGCGAACCACCGGCCGGAGCACGTCGTCGTCGACCTCGCCCAGAGCCTGGAAGACCTCCAGCTCGAGTACGTCGACTCCTACGTCATCCACTGGCCCCAGGCCTGCCCCGCGAGCGGGCTCCAGGCGTCGACGCGCGTCGACGGCGCGGACGCGCGCCACTACAGCGAGAACCCCATGTTCCCCATGGACGACGACGGCGCGGCGCGCGGCGCCTCTTTTTTTCTTCCATCGAAGGCGATTCCTTTGCTCCCTAGGCTACTTCTCCTCCGACGAGGGCAGCCACTACACGGAGACGTGGCGGGCCATGGAGGCGCTGGTCGCCGCGGGCAAGTGCCGGTCCATCGGCCTGAGCAACTTCAACAAGGCCCAGCTCGAGGAGGTCGTCGCCATGGCGAAGGTGCCCGTGTCGATCCTCCAGAACGAGTGCCACCCGTACCTCCAGCAGAAGGACCTCGTCGACGTCTGCCGGACGCACGGCGTCGCGTTCCAGGCCTTCTCGCCCCTCGGCTCCGGCGACACGAACCTCGCCGTCGGCCCGTCGCCGACGGGCACGACGCCGCTCAAGGACCCCGTCGTGAACGCCATCGCGGACCGCGCGGGCAAGGACGCGGGCCAGGTCATCCTCAAGCACGCGATCGCCCGCGGCATCGCCGTCGTCACCAAGTCGGTCACGAAGGCGCGCGTCGAGTCCAACTTCGAGCTCTTCGACTGGGACCTGTCGCCCGAGGACACGAAGCTCATGGACGGCCTCAACTGCGGCTGGCGCCACCTCCACTGGCGCGAGACGAGCCACCACCCGGACTACCCCTTCCGCGACGAGCTGCCCTTCGGCTACGAGCTCGAGAAGGTCTCCAACTTCGCGCCGGGCCAGTGAGACGCGCGCTATCGGCGGGGCGTGCGAACGAGGATAGGGCTGTTGGATGATCTACGCTACGGAGGGGGTTCAACACGGCTGCACTGTTGCCAAAGTGACTCAGCGTGCACGATGGTGGGCAGCTCGCTGCTCGCCATAATGGGCGTCGAGCACTTGAGCGCCGTCGAGACGGTGCTCGCGGTCATCGGCTTCGCCATGCTCGCCTGCTGCGCCGCGGCGACGGTCGCGCTCTTCGTGGGCGAGGTCGCGCACCGCTGCACGCGGCGCCTCCGCGTCGCCGAGCTCTGGATCTATCCCGTGAAATCGTGCGGCGGCGTGCGCGTCGCCGAGGCGCGCCTCGACCGCGCGGGCCTGCGCTACGACCGCGAGTTCGCCGTCGTGAAGCGGGCCACCGGCGAGGTGCTCTCGCAGAAGCAGTACCCCGCGCTCGCGGCCGTCTCGCCGCGGCCCGTCTACGGCCGCGTCGGCGAGCTCCTGGAGCTCGTGCTGAGCTCCCCCGGCGGCGGGAGCGTGCGCGTCGACGTGCGGACCACGGGCGACCACGCGACGACGACGTGGTCCGGCCACGACGGCCCGCTGAGCGCCGTCGTCTACCCGCTCGGCGACGCGTGGCTCAGCGACCACCTGGGCCTCGACGTGACGCTCTGCCGGCTCCGCGGCGCGCGGCCGCTGCGGGGCACGCGTTTAGCGCCCGTGTCGCTCGACGACCGGGACCGGTGCCGCTACCAGGACGGCGCGCCGCTGACGTGGGTCGGGGAAGCGTCCGTCGCCGCGGTCAACAGGCGGGTCCGGGCGCGGCTGCCGCCCTTCCACTTCCGGCCCAACGTGGTCATCGCCGGCTGCCGCGCCTTCGAAGAGACGACCTGGGCGCGCGTGCACGTCGGCGCGCGCCGCGTGCCGATCCGCGCGCTGATGGACTGCTACCGCTGCACCATGGTGACCGTCGACCAGGCCGGCGAGGCGGCGCCGGGCGCGCGGCCCCGGGGCCACGACGTCTTTTCGGGCATGAAGCGGTTCCTGGCCAAGGACGCGGCGACGCACGGCCCCTTGCCGGGCGCGAACCCGCACCTTGCGGTCTTCGCGGCGCCGGACGACGCCGTCGGCGTCGTCGTCCGCGAGGGCGACGACGTCGCGCCGACGCCCATCGGGCGGCCGTCGATCTGGGCGCACAACCGCGCGCGGCACCCGGACGAGTTCGAACTCGACGACCGCCGCTTCTGGGTCCGCACCGGCGCGAAACAAACCCGCG